GAAGAAGGCTCATAACGATCCAGAAAAAAATCAGAATCTAGTGGATCAGTATCTTGTTGTCTGGTATCAAAAATATTAAAAGGAACTTCCCTGACCGGGAATCGAATCCTGACTACTAGACCTTCAGGGACACACAACCCTCATTGTTTTTTGGCCATAATTTTTTTTGCCATTTTTAAATGCTATCACTTTTTCATCATACTTCCTGGCAATATCCAGTAATGCCGTTTTGATTATCTAGAAGAGCAAAACTCAAAACATAATAATTTTTGAAAACTTTTTAAAATTAAAGTTTATTGCCCTCCCATGATTTGGTATCAGAAGTGCTACCGTTGCGCCACAAGGTCTTATATGAGGATTTTTGGAAGAAGGCTCATAACGATCCAGAAAAAAATCTGAATCTAGTGGATCAGCATGATGTTGTCGTGTATCAAAACTATTGAAAGGAAGTTCCCTGTCCGGGAATCGAATCCTGACCACTAGACCTTCAGGGAGACACAACCCTCATTGTTTTTTTTCCATCATTTTTTCTTGCCATTTTTAAATGCTATCACTTTTTTATCATACTTCCTGGCAATTTCCAGTTATGCCATTTTGATTATCTAGAAGAGCAAAAGTCAAATCATATTAATTTTAGAAAACTTTTTTTTAAATAAAAGTTTACTGCTCTCCCAGTATTGACCTTGATGTGATTTGATCACACAAACTTCTGATCTGGAGTCAGACGCGCTACCGTTGCGCCACAATGTCTTACGTGAGCATTTCTGGAAGAAGGCTCATAATGATCTAGAAGAAAATCAGAATCTAGTGGATCAGTATCTTCTATATAAAATATTAAAAGGAAGTTCCCTGCCCAGGAATCAAACCCAGGTCTCAGCGGGTACAGCGCCGAATCCTGACCACTAGACCATCAGCGACACGCAATACTTATTGTTTTTTTGGCCATCATTTTTTTTTTTGCCATTTTTAAATATTACTTTTTTATCATACTTCCTGGCAATCGAATCCTGACCACTAGACCTTCAGGGACACACAACCCTCATTGTTTTTTGGCCATCATTTTTTTTGCCATTTTTAAATGATATTACTTTTTTTATCATACTTCCTGGCAATTTCCAGTAATGCCGTTTTGATTATCTAGAAGAGCAAAACTCAAATCATGCTAATTTTAGAAAACTTCTTAAAATTAAAGTTTATTGCTCTCCCATGATCTGGTACCAGAAGCGCTACTGTTGCGCTACAAGGTCGTATATGAGGATTTTTGGAAGAAGGCTCATAATGATCTAGTAGAAAATCAGAATCTAGTGGAGCAGTATCTTGTTGTCCTGTATAAAAAATATTAAAAGTCACTTCCCTGACCAGGAATCGAACCCGGGGCACAGCGGTGAGAGTACCGAATTCTGACCACTAGACCATCAGGGACACACAACCTCACTGTTTTTTGGCCATTTTTTGTCATTTTTAAATGATATCAATTTTTATCATATTGATTTGGACACACAACCTTCTGATCTGGAATCAGATGCACTACCGTTGCACCACAAGGTCTTATATGAGGATTTCTGGAAGAAGGCTCATAACGATCCAGAAAAAAATCAGAATCTATTGGATCAGTAACTTCTTGTCGTGTAACAAAAATATTAAAGTGAACTTCCCTGACCGGGAATCGAACCCGGGCCGCGGCGGTGAAAGCGCCAAATACTGACCACTAGACCATCAGGGACACACAATCATGAATATTTTTTCGGCCATCATTTTTTATTGCCATTTTTAAATGCTATCACTTTTATTCATATTTCCTGCTAATTTCAAGTAATGTCTTTTTGATTATCTAGAAGAGCAAAACTCAAATTATATTACTTTTAGAAAACTTTATAGTATTAAAGTTTGCTGCACTCCCAGCATTGACCTTGATGTGACTTGAACACACAACCTTTTGATCTGGTGTCAGACACGCTACCGTTGCACCACAAGGTCTTATGTTAGGATTTCTGGAAGAAGGCTCATAACGATCCAGAAACAAATCTGAATCTAGTGGATCAGTATCATGTTGTCCTGTATAAAAAATATTAAAAGTCACTTCCCTGTCCGGGAATCGAACCCGGACCGCGGCGGTGAATCCTGACCACTAGACCATCTGGGACAAACAACCTCATTGTTTTTTGGCCATTTTTTTGTCATTTTTAAATGCTTTTACTTTTAATCATATTGATTTGGACACACAACCTTCTGATCTGGAATCAGATGCACTACATTTGCACCACAAGGTCTTATACGATGATTTCTGGAAGAAGGCTCATAACGATCCAGAAACAAATCTGAATCTAGTGGATCAGTATCATGTTGTCCTGTATAAAAAATATTAAAAGTCACTTCCCTGACCGGGATTCGAACCCGGTCCGCGGCGGTGAGAGCGCCGAATCCTGACCACTAGACCATCAGGGACACACAACCTCACTGTTTTTTTTTTTTTTTTTGTCATTTTTAAATGCTATCACTTTTAATCATATTGATTTGGAAACACAACCTTCTGATCTGGAATCAGAGGAACTACCGTTGCACCACAAGGTCTTTAACGAGGATTTTTGGAAGAAGGCTCATAACGATCCAGAAACAAATCAGAATCTAGTGGATCAGTAACTTCTTGTCGTGTATCAAAAATATTAACAGTCACTTCCCTGTCCGGGAATCGAACCCTGGGTGCGGCAGTGAGAGCGCCGAATCCTGACCACTAGACCATCAGGGAGACACAACCTCATTGTTTTTTGGCCATTTTTTTGTCATTTTTAAATGCTTTCACTTTTAATCATATTGATTTGGACACAACCTTCTGATCTGGAATCAGATGCACTACCGTTGCACCACAAGGTCTTTAACGAGGATTTCTGGAAGAAGGCTCATAACGATCCAGAAACAAATCAGAATCTAGTGGATCAGTAACTTCTTGTTGTGTATCAAAAATATTAAATGGAACTTTCCTTAACAGGAATCGAACCCGGGCCACAGTGGTGAGACCACCGTATCCTGACCACTAGACCATCAGGGACACACAACCTCATTGTTTTTTGGCCATTTTTTTGTCTTTTTTAAATGCTATCACTTTTAATCATATTGATTTGGACACACAACCTTCTGATCTGGAATCAGATGCACTACCGTTGCACCACAAGGTCTTTAACGAGGATTTCTGGAAGAAGGCTCATAACGATCCAGAACCAAATCTAAATTTAGTGGATCAGTATCATGTTGTCCTGTATAAAAAATATTAAAAGTCACTTCCCTGACCGGGAATCATACCCGGGCCGCGGCGGTGAGAGCGCCAAAACCTGACCACTAGACCATCAGGGACACACAACCTCATTGTTTTTTGGCCATTTTTTTGTCTTTTTTAAATGCTATCACTTTTAATCATATTGATTTGGACACACAACCTTCTGATCTGGAATCAGATGCACTACCGTTGCACCACAAGGTCTTTAACGAGGATTTCTGGAAGAAGGCTCATAACGATCCAGAAACAAATCTAAATCTAGTGGATCAGTATCATGTTGTCCTGTATAAAAAATATTAAAAGTCACTTCCCTGACCGGGATTCATACCCGGGCCGCGGCGGTGAGAGCGCCGAATCCTGACCACTAGACCATCAGGGACACACAACCTCATTGTTTTTTGGCCATTTTTTTTTTTTTTTAAATGCTATCACTTTTAATCATATTGATTTGGAAACACAACCTTCTGATCTGGAATCAGATGCACTACCGTTGCACCACAAGGTCTTTAACAAGGATTTCTGGAAGAAGGCTCATAACGATCCAGAAACAAATCTGAATCTAGTGGATCAGTATCATGTTGTCCTGTAAAAAAAATATTAAAAGTCACTTCCCTGACTGGGAATCG